TTCTTCGGTGGACAGGCTGTGTAAAACCGCCCGGACGGTCGGCCATTTTACATTTCTGGCGCCTTTTCTGTCTGGGAGGAAATACCCCACCCAACACGGTCCCCTACTGGTACAATTTTGTACCATTTGTTCTGATCAGTGGTTTTGTACCTCTGAAGGTCCACAGTAAATCACCTCAGGGGTACATCTCTGTACTTACAGGGTACTTTCCTGATTAATGTACCTTTTGGGTACAAAAGTTGACCTTTATTTTTTTGTGTGTATCTGTTGATTGATGCTCTTATTGATTTGCCTGTCAGGCTTCCACGCCACAACGATCTCTTGGTGGTTTCACACGACCCGACCCAGTTCCACCCACTTCGGAGACGGCTGATAATCACTGCCTGCAAAGTATCAGGAGTGCCCTCAAACATCAGGGACGTCAGGACTCAGTCATTGATGTCATCTGTTCCAGCGGGCGACCGGGAACTCAGAAACAGTATTTGTATGCATGGCGCAAAGTCCTTGTTTGGACTATTGGACAATCATGCTGTGCCACTGAAGCGACTGAAACCACAGTGATTGCATACTTGGACTTTCTTAAAGAGAGTGGGAGATCAATACAGTAATTGACACTCATAAATCATGCATAATTCAGACTTTACAGGTCTTAGGTGCTACTTGGGTCTCAAATCCTAGGTGGTTGCTCAGGTACATGAAAGGACTATTTCGTTTACGGCCACCGAGGCCTCGTTACACTTGGACATGGGATGTCAGTAGTGTTTTGACTTATTTCCTCATCTAAGTTTAAGTTTGTAAAATTTGACATTAAAGCTTACAGCATTCCTGGCATTGGTCACAGCAGCAAGAGCTCAGACACTGGTGGACTTAGATTTAAGTTATCTGCAAGTAGCAGGCGATACTCTAAAGTGAATTTTTAATTTATGAACTCACTAAAACAAGTAAGTTGGGCAAACCGATTCAGAGATTCTTCTGAAGAGATACTCTAAACCAGAAATTTGTGCATTGGACACATTGGGCCTCATGCAAGAACCGTTGGTACGCACAGATTTGTTCTTAAATTGTGCGTACGAGTGATTTAGGAGAATTTGTGGCATTCACCAATG